GCTATTGCTCCCTTATTGCGGCAAAGTACTCGATTAGCGTGAAACAAATAAACGATTGAAGAAGTAAAAATATTATAAAATAAAATCGAGCATTTCGAAAATATATTGAATGATAGAAAATTATTTATGTTATTAAATAATCGAGAAAGATACTTATTATTTTGTTCAAAGCTTGTTATAAAGAGGCAATTGTTTTCTGAGGCGAAAAATGAAGAATAAGTGAACTGTAAAATAATTTTCAACATTGAATCGAAAATGTTTAATAAGTTTAATCATGTGTGCCATCTTTATCAATAATAATTGATATAATGCTTATTCCAATCGTGCGAAAGAATATAATTGACACAATAAAATGCGCGTAACAAGTAACAATTTTTAGAATGTAAAAGCTTCGGATAATCTCTATATGTAACAATAACGTAATAACGATAATAACAACAATCCCCGAGTTTTGTCAGTAAATATTTTTCGCGATAAAATTTATTCGAAGCAGAGAGACAAGTACTTTGTCAATAAAGAGCGATTCGCGGAACGAGCCTCGATCATCCTCGTCACAACCGTCCTCTATATAATCGCCTAACTAACTTAAAGCCTTACTTCCTAGATTTCTCTGACGCCTTAATTAATGATATGATATATTTCCGTTCAGCAATGTGGAACAATTCTCAACGAAAGTGATAAAAATTCAAAACTTGCCCGACGGCAATCCGCGAGCGAAGGTCCTTGCTGACGGGAAGCCTTCGTCGCGGCCGTAAATCCTCTCTTTCTCTTCCCTCTTACACTTTTGCGCAACAACTCGCATCCTAGATATGTTAACTTTGCCTTCTCTCCATAGCACCGATACGTTTCTCTCTTCCCTCTCACTCTAATTTTATTTCGATGTTGCGATTACTCGTCTTCCTCAAGGTTCTTGTTCTCGCTTCCCGCGAGTGTATTTTCTATACCAATCGTCGTCCTTCAGTCTTTCAACGATAAATACGTATCTTCAGCAACGTTCTCCCACATCTCCCATCTCTTTCTCTCCTTCTTCCGTGCCGTGCCGATCCTATAACGCGAAATCTCGAAAACGGATCCCAGGACCAGGTCAGGATTCACCATCCTCGAGGAAATCACTCTGGAAGTCGTTGCCTCTGTATATAATCCCCGACAAAGCGTCGCGAATCTCGAACACGATCGATATCCGACGGACGCGGGCGCGATCGATGATCCCTCGCAACCCTGATGACGTCTATTCTCTGCCGTTAAGTTGTGGAAGCCTGTCTCGAAGACTCTCGAACACGCGCTTTCGAGCGATCGTTGGTCACGTGGACGACGCCGATCACTCGCTCTTAATACATTCCTTGCCTAAAGGGATTGCTGTTTCCAGCTCCCGGTCGCTGCTCCGGCACGTCCGGCTGTCTTCTGAAGGGATTCACATCGACCTGGGCTTCTCCTCGCTCCTGCTCGGCCGCGTAATTCCTCTGCTGGCTGTAATCGGCGGCCTGACCGTAGCCCGGCGGCTGATTGTAAACCGGCGGTTGTTCGTGCGGCGGCTGAGCGTAGCCCGTCGTGTTCTGAGTACCGTAACTCCCGTAGCCGGCCTGCGTCTGATAATTCGGCTCGTAACCCTGGTCGACGTTCGTCTCCATGCGCGTCTGATTCAGATGGTTACCGATCTCGCCGGTGATCGGTCGCTGCTCCTGCAGCACGTAAGTCTGGTACTCCTTATCGGGTGGATCCTGCATCAGGATGTTCGCCTCGTCCTGGAACGGCTTGAAGTCGTAGATGTGCCGCAGGTAATAGAGCACCGGCGCGTAGAGCAGATTCGAGAAGGCGATGCCGATGTTGAGCGCCGTGAAACCGATTGCCTCGACTACCCCACCGGCTATGATCGGACCCACCGCGTACGCCACGCTGTACGAGATATCGGCGATAGCGTAGATGCTCCCGTAGACGGACACGTACCTTACGTCCACCAGGTAGCCCAGCGTAGGCAAGAGCGCGGTGTCAATTAAAGCGATGCCGAAGCAGATGCCGCACAGCGGGATCATCAGCACTTTGTACGAATTGGAGAACGGTATGATGAAGCAGCAGAGACCCTCCAGGGCGAGTCCACCGGCTGCCATCAGCCACTGATACTGCGGATACTGCTTGGCCATCTTCACGGTGACCACCACGCCGATCACGTGCGGGAAGAAAGCCGGTAGCCATACCATACCGATCTTCCAGTTGTCGTGGGTCATCGTGTCCTCCATCCACAGCGAGATGGTCGGCTCGAGGAAGGCCAGGGCGACGTTGGACATCATCAGAGCACCCGCGCACACGGCGATGTACGGGTCCATCAGCAGCCGCCAGATCGGTATCGTCGATTTGGGCTCGCCTATGTGACGGTCGCGTAACTGCTCCTTGATCGGCTTCATCACCAGCAGCAGCATGAAACCGTCCGCCAGGCTGACGAACGCCAGTATCAGGAACGGTACCTCCTTGCCGGCGAATTGATACAGAGCGCCGCCGAACGGCGGCGCGACCAGGCAGCCGAAACTGATGAACGCCAGAGCGATGCCGAGGGCTTTCGAGCGTTCCGACTCCTCGGTGAAGCGATCGGCGATCATGGCGAGACCGGCGGTGTCGGCGAACGCGGAGCCGACGCCTTGCAGACTCCTCGCGAAGAACAGGACGCCGTAGCTCTTGCCGCACGCGAACACGCTGGTCGACAGGAACATGATGCAGAGACCGATCATCATAGGTATGTCGTAGCCGATCCGGTCGATCAGCGCGCCGGAGAACGGATTAATCATCAGCTGCACGATCGCCTTCGACGCGAACAGCACCCCGGTCGCGGAATCCTGGCCGTGATGCTCCCGTGGAATAATGGTGCCGTTGGGCATCGTCTCGACCGGTCCGAAAGCACCCACGTACTGCAGATAATCGGGGATAATCGGCACTATCACCATGTACAGCATGTTGTCCAGCAGCAGCGCTATGGAGACGATGACGAGGATCAGCTTGCGCTGAGCCTTGGGCTCCTGCAGCTTCGTCCAGACGATCTCCTTGAGCTCGCCGAACTCCATGTTGAGTATCGGTATCGTCGTCATGATGTTGCTCTAAGTGGCCGCTCGCGGAGCGGACCCCTTGTGTTCTCTTCCGAACTTTGTTTTGTGTGTGTGTCTTAACGGGTGAGACTAACCGCGGTCACCAGTCGTGCGACCTCGGGAAGCGAGCGTGACGAGGAGATCGTCGCGATAGGGGCGGCGCGCATCAGGCCGGGCCGGGGGTAACCTACAACAGATCACCGAGTTGGCGACGATTAGCTCTCGCGTTCGATTAACCGATTCGCGCGAGTTTTTTTTTTCTCTTTTTTTTTTTTTTTTGTGCATACGCTATTTATCGCAATACACCGCAACGGCAATCGACAGGCTTCGCGACGGCGTCGGAGATTGGGAAGAGTTGCTGAAGAAGAAGATGAAGAAGAAGAAGAAGAAGAGGGAAAGGGAGAGCCCTGACCCGGCCTGGTCAGCGCGAAACGACGATGTTCATCTCGAACCACCCGGAATCCAGCCTCGTCCGACCCAACCTCGCGATCGCGAATATATATATAAATATATATATACACGCGGCACTTTTGTGTGCAAGAGGGAAGAAAAAAATGCACTCTCTCTCTTTCTCTCTCTATTCCTCTCTGTGCGGGTTGCTCCCTCGCGCGTGCTTGAACGAGAACACGACACCGGATGGAGGCTCCCCCACGATAAGGCGTCGCGAGATCGACTCTATATACCTGAGCCTGAGGTATATCGTGTATCGTGTTACACGGCGGAGATAAAAACAGCGCGGGAAAACGCCGGGAAAACAAGGGGCGAGGGTCGACGCGTGCTAGACATCGTCGGCAGGGTCGCCCGCTAATCACTTCACGAATGTTGGCGGTACCAGGAGAACTAATGACGATACTATTTCTGTCCGATATTATTACGGCTTGTTTCCGCGAGTTGTCGATCGTTGGAACCAATTGCATTAAACGAACGTAAAGTTAACAATGAAGTTAGCGTTACTCTTATAGGAGGAATCTCCCTCGACTTGGAAATAAAAAGATATACAGAATTCGAGTAATTAAATTTCCATAATCACAATGGTTTCTAATTAAACTAATATATGTGTCATCGTCTTATTTCTATGCGAAATAAGACCTCGCGTAATAACACTATAATGTAATTATGACACTTTAATTACTTAAATTTCCATATAATCTAAAATGCAAATTTTCATAATTTACCAACAATAAAAATGTTAGCGGTAAATTATTAAAATACTTTACATATGTGTATAAGACAAAATTGCATTATATATATATATATATATAGACATTTTCTTCTTTTCAGATTCACGAATCTCTTTAAATCCTTTTTGTCATTATTCACTTTCTCCTTTCTTAACAAAGAGTGCAAGAGCACAATAAAAATGATATTCTGAAATTATACTTTAAGAGTACAATAAAACAGGGTGTTTCTCGAAAGGGTTGAGGGCAGTAGAAAGAAACTAAGAACCATATTTCTCTCTTTCACTCTCACTCTCTCTCTCTCTCTCTCTCTCTCTCTCTCTCTCTCTCTCTTTTTCTCATGAGCCGACGGAAAAAGTTGTCAAGTGCAATTAATATAAGTGCACTTCCCAACTTTTCCAGGAACGCGACAATTCGCCACAATCTGGATTAAATATCTACGTAATAATTTGATTTGCTGCGTGCTCGACGTTCATTATTCATGTACTCTGCCATTATCCGAATTCGTCGAAACCTTTCTTTCATAAATAAAAAAAAGGGTACGTTCTATTTTTATTTCTCCGTAATCTATACCATGATTTATGAAATATTTAATCCGACGTAGAGCTTCTAGGGGACGATCGCGCGATTTCGAGACGATGATGGCTCTCGCGTTCGCGAAACGACGCCTGTCGATCGTCGTCACGAGGATGTGATCGATAGGCGGACTTGGTAATGTCGCACAGAAAACGATCTCATATCGTCGACTCACCGGAGTTACTGGCGAACTTCTGCCTGAGGGAATTGGCGAGGCGTTGGGGGCCCGCCAAGGTCGGAAGACCGGCGAGCAAGCCGCTCAGAGTCGAGGTGACGTCCGATCCGTCTTCGTCCTTCGAGTCGTTCACCGACTCCTTGGCTCCTCGCGTCCCCGGGCCCTCCACCTTTTCAGCCGCGTTCACAACCGAGCCTGCAACAGCGACATCATCCCCGCGATTAAAGTCGATTATATAATTCATTATTTTTTTTCGAGAGGAAAATTATGTAGGCGTTCGATTCAAGAGTTGTTTATTAAACGAAGCAGGAGCACGTTTCAAAACCATTTTTTCTCGTCACAAAAATTCGATCGAATTTTATACATAAATGATGTAATAATAGATACTTGTACCTGTAAAGGTGTATAATTTATTTTCGGAGCGCCTTTTGTAGAGGACATTGGATAGGACAAAGGGAGAGTCCGTCAACCTTCCCCAGTTGGAATTTATCATCATATATTTAATCGCGCATGAGGCAACATTGCTTTTACTCTATATATTCATGTCTTCTCGTGTATATATAAATATGTATATATGTTCGACACAATTTTTACTAACCTTTCTATTATCTTATGTACGCGTTACCAATGGGCAGGTTAAATTTAGCGTTTCTGCATCTATCTATAACATCCGAGTCTCTTATACCTTGCACATTTGAGGAAGACCGGGCATTACACACGTGCGTAACTTCCCAAGGTAATTTTTTATCCCTACCCTCCCTCGCATCGTCGTATCGCAATATAGTTATTTGACAGCCACGTGTTATTTTGTGCGCCGTTGTTTGCAGGAAGGGTGCAGCAATATCCCTTATTATCCGCGTCGCTCTTGTAAGTGCAACTTTTAACCGGAACTCGCGGATTTTCTTAGAGTCATTTTGATCAAACGTTACACAAAACACAACGTTCTCTATAAGAAGAGAATTCAAAAACTAATGAACAAAAAAATTATGCCTTTTTTTAATTCTAAATTCTCAATCTCGTAATTTTTTTCCATTTTTTTGCAGACGCAATTATGCCTTGTAATGAGTAGCTGAATAAAAATGTTTGTTTCAACGTGATTTAATGAATTAAGCTTGACTTAAAATGCTGTATTGCAAATAGAGCAATATTGTCAGCAGAAATAAGATCTTGGCTATACAAAATTGTCATTCATATATTTCTCGATTTCCGAATAAAATTTTACATTCCGTTAAATGTAACATGGATTTGTGTCGAAAAAATCGAGACAGATTCAAGAGGAAAATATTGACGAAAATTGTACAACGAGCAATTGAAAATCAATATAATAATGTAACACGATTTGTGCATACATATATATTTAATTATATAATAGGTACATACATATTTATATATACTCTAACTTCTCTCTCTGGCCACAAGTACTCAAACAAAGCAAGTCGGAAAGAACAAGCGAAGAAAAATTGTGCGGGAGCGTGAATTGCAGCAACCCTTCGAGAATTCGAATCCGATGAAGAAATCTCAGTACGAACCCGAGATTGCGAAAAGGGGAAAGAAAAAAAACATTCATAAATTCTACGAGATTCCAGTTCGAACCGTCGTATCGGAAGCTACCGATTCCTACCAAACGAGCCCGCGCACCAGAGAAAATCTCACGAATGCGTACACCTTTGGAAACCCAGAAGAAGAAGAAGAAGAAGAAGAAGAAGAAGACAAAAGCGAGAAACGCAAGCGAGAGGAAGATACAGAGAGCGAGAGCGAAAGAGAGAGAAAGAGATCGGCCGGGATACTTACTAAGACCGAAGGGCTCCCAATGGCAGGGGCGTCTCGGCGTGTCTCTCCGTCGGGGTGGCTTTGGAACGTCTGCCCTCGGAGTCCTCCCCGCCACCGGGTCGCCGCGGCGCCCTCTCTCGCCGTCGCGGTGGCGGCAGCGACGTCGTCGGCGGCGGTTCCGCTGCGGAAAACGCGGCAGGGCGCAGCCGCGACCACCAGGATCCAGGGATTGGCGGCGGCGAGGCCGTGCGTCAGCCCCCAAACCCTCCACCATCGGACTCGTATGCCGGCGTCCCTCCGAGGGTAGAGAGGGCGAGACCAGGTATAACGACGACGACGACGACGACGACGACGGTCGATGCTGCGCGGTATTTCTGGCGTCAGGTCGATATCGGCCTCACCTGTGCGAGGCGACTCTATATATGTGGGGCTGCCACCCGTTCCGAAGGGGTTCTCGAACGCGGTCCCGCTTCGTTGCTCTCCACCTTTCTTCTGGGACCAGTGCTCTTCAACCGGCGGATCGGGTGCCTCACTCGTTACCTGGCTCGAGAGAGAAGGGTGTAAAAGGTTGGGGTGAAAGGTTGCGAGACCCTGCCTCGAGTGGCGGTACGGCCCGGAGTATAGCGCGCTTCAGTTTTCCAAGAGACATCGCCACCGTGCTCTCTCTCTCTCTTTCTCTTTCTCTTCCGTCTTCGTTTGTCGGAGGCTTTCGAGGATTACGATCGTTTACCGGTACTTAAAGCGAGAAATCACCGACCTGGCCGAGACTCGTCGCGTTCACCTCGGGTAATACTTGCGGGCAGAATTTCAACCTTTCAGTGATGTCATCATTTACGAATTTACGTCTAAAGTTAGATTTCACCGTACTATAATAATGTACCAGTTATACGTTGCGTTCTGAATTTCTTGAACCTATTTTCCTCTTTTTTTCCCTTTTCATACATTGGCGACAAAACCATTGTCGATATAGAATATTGAAAATATATATCATTAATTCCAATGTGAGAAAGATTAAAAGTCACCCTATGTACGGAACAGAAAAACTGGCAAAGTCAATGCCAATCCAGATTATCTAACTCTCCCTTTTTTGTGTCGCCGAGAGAACACAACGAATTCAAGGCAGGTAGTTGAACACGAGGGAATTGAGAATCAGCTACGTTCGAAGAGGGATGTGAGAGGTCAAAAGTCGAGTGACCGTAACGAGTTCGTGCTACTAGATTCGCTCGAGTCCTGCGTAAACCGATCAATGTTAATCATCGTATTTAGTTAAGGTCAAAGGTATTTTTATATTGGTCGCGAGCAGAAGGGAGACACGCACGAGTTCCAGTAGGAAAAACTTGGTGTTTTTCACAGATGCTTGTTTTTGATATTTAAAAAGAAACACTAGTTGTTCTTACGAGTTCAACGCCGTTTCGCTTACATTCTTTTTTTATTTTTATCGAAGCTCTCTAGAATTGTATTATATAAAAATACAGTGCTAAAGGATGAGCTGAATTCTTGATCAAATTAACTTGAAACTTGCTTTAAAAAGAGTTCACTAAAAATTTGATAGAATTATACAGAAAATAGTTACATTTTGCAGCAATATTAAGCAACCAGCAGATTATCTTCTAAGTTGAACATATTGTGTTAAATATTAATATATGCGTTTAATTTGATGCAATAAACTGCAATTATTATGAGACAGATATAATAATATGATGGTAATTTAAAGATTACACAAACGAGCAAAGAAAATGTTTTTAACTTTGAATTCAAGTATAAGCTAGCGAGTTTCACCTTCGCTTATTGCTCTATGAACAAGTCTATTGAAGTTTCCAACATCGAACAAGAAGCTGTAAAGCCGAGAAGTTTTTTCTAAAAGTTTCACAATGTAGCAACTAATATCACCTGTTATTATTATTTAACAATCATTCGGCATACAATTCTCTCCTATATTCTAAGAGGATAAAATTCCTTTATCGAAATAAAATCTCGAGAAACTCAAGTTTAAATAAATAATCAAGGCATTACGTACACCTATAGAATCTTACGATTTTATAAATCTTTTAATGACAATTGTTAAAATGTTTGCATCACAAAGTGTTATAATATAAATAATTTTAATAATATTCGAAAGTTCTTGTGAAATTCAACATTAAAATTTATTTAATAAAGAGGTAATGTCACGATATTGAACGTCTTGTCCTTAGTTCATGACGCCGTCTCCCTTTGCAGGCGTCATTGTCGGAACGTTCAAATGTCGAATAAAGGCTGTCTCTGACGTCTCGGGCCGATTACGTCATTTACAATGTCATTTGATGACATTACTAGATACGTCGCGCGGCTATTCTAACTTAGCCGACAGGATAGTATCGGCGAATAAATTAACGAGCAAAGAAGCGAGTCCTATTCTATAGTCATAGGGTGTCAAACCGGATTGTTATCTATTATGGTAAAGAGGATAATGGGAATATCAAATTCTCATTATATATTCTGTAGAACTAATCGATACGCACGTTGTTCCCCGAACAAGCTTATTCTCCGATTGGATTACTCTTTTAAGCTACGTAACTTTGAAACAAAAGGAATTAAATTTTTATCGAGAAATATGACATTATAGCAAGGACAGCGATGGTTTAAAAATATGCACTGTACGTAAAGAATATTATTGTTCAAGAAAAATATATCACAGATGTCAAATTGTGTTCATTGATTTGACATAATGCGACCTGCTAACAAATGCACTATTTTTTGCATTTTTTATTTTATTGCAATCTCTTCTTCTCGTTAAAGATCTCACATTTATTTCAGCTTTTCAGCTTTTATCCCCTATAGCCAGTGTTGCAGTGTTATCTAAATAGAAATATATAGATGATCATCTACATGAAATTTTGGTGTCATCTTATCTTTATATAAAAATATATATTATCAATATCTGTATCTTAGATGAAAAAGTATTAGCTTTACTAAATTATCTAGATTAATGTTCAGATAATTTGGAGTCATAGTACATAAATAAAAATATGAATATATTTTTATAGCCCTTCAGTGATTTCTTTTATAACTGTGTTGACATAAGCGCGGTCTTAAAAATAATATTATCTGAAAATTATTTAGATAAATCGCCATATAATTTTATCTAGATATATTTAGAACCAAATTATCTTCATCTTATCTAAGATGAATTTACATATTTTCGTCTTAACTTTAATGAATTTTAAAATCATCTAAGCACTATGCCCATAGCCGCGTTACGTTAAATACCTGGCTCGTGTGTTTTCGTTCAGGCCCGAAAATAGATATCGATCAGCTCGGGCGAACTGTTGACCCAACATTGACGCGAAGACATATATATATATTCGTCGTATAGTGTCCGCAGGGAGGATCATTTTCGCAGTGTTGTATACCTGCGGCCGCGGGATACCTGTCACGTTTCTGCCGTCACCGTCGACTTTCGCGCGACATCTATTCTGGCGGCTAAATCCGTTCGCGAACACACGGACAGACGGTAGATGCAGAAATAAATGATCTCCGGTTGATCGTCCCGTTTAATGCCCTTTGAGAGCGCGACGCGCGCGCGTTTCCATCTGACAGCTCCATTTTGCCATATTGAAAAGGCTTTGGGATCGGCGATCACGACTCGCTTCTTCGCGACACGAGAACGGACGCACGCGTGCCGCAGAACATTGTAAAATGCATGATTCGTGACATCTCGGATGGCACAACCGATATTTATAACATTGCGCTATTACGTAATGCATATTAATGTAATGTAGTAATGCAAATAAGATTTCATCGTATGACTAGCCATCTCTTCTTTTTTTTTTAATTATTTATTTATATATTAAATTAAAAGGCTCTGTTGAAATATCTGGTTTAATGTTTAGCAGTCGTCTGTATATTGTACGAATATATATATATATATATATATATATATATATATATATAAAATTATATTAAGTTACAGCAAGAAAATAAAACGAGAAAACGCGGTTTCATTTTTGTATTCCGAATACAATTTGAGAAAAAAACATTTTTATTTTGTTCAATATTTATATATAATTTTCAAAAATGTAGCTAAAACGTTTATACTATTTACGGTTCGATTTTATTGTCTGCCCTCTGGCTATTTCGCAAAAGCGGAAAAGGAATAAATGGGATTCGTTTAATATCGAGACGGTCTCGATAGAGATATCGAGATCATGTATCGCATTATTATTCGAAAAAGATGTCCAAGGAATCGCGAGATGAAATAATCAATGATAAGTAGACGACTCTAATTAAAATAAAATATTCCTACACTCTGCATAAACGTCGACATTCAGATAACTCTGATTATCTACGGCCTTATAATTATCTACGACCACGTCGATGTCTTTTGCGAGATGAAACACGAGTTAATAATTTTTGCCGATGAAGGATCACAATTCAGGATGTTTAGCGATCAGGAAAATCTGGAAAACCGAGCATTTTCAAGGAATTTTATAAATCTGGAATTGTCAGAGAAAAGTTAGGAAATTGTATTATTTATCTGGATTTTTTCACATTATTCTACATTTGTTTCAATAATTAAAATTTTTATTAAATAAATATAAATCTTTTCTTGACTGCCAGCGCACTAATTTTCTGTGTTGTTAAAAATCGATTCGTTAATTTATATTTTCATCGTCGTGTTGTTTTATTTCAATGTGTTTGATAAAGACAAAACTAAAAAATTTGATATAAATAAAAAAGGTGATTGTTAAAATAGTTTATAAATAGTTTAACACGATTATCGTACATAATGCAGATTGTTGACAGAAATATCTCAAGGATTTCATGATTTAACATTTAATTGATTTATCATATAGATATATGGAAAAATTATATTTGGAAAATAATACTAAAAAATCAGGGAAAAAATGAATTTCTAGTCTTCTAGAAAATCTGAAAAAGTCAGGAAATTTTTTCATTGAGTCTGCCTGAAATTATAATCGTAAAGTTTTTTCTCGACACACACTCTTTTCTATAATTCCTCGGATTTCTCCTCTCTTGCGCGACTTATTCGAGTTATTTTCCCGAGCGATTGTCTATCGGAAAGGGCTCGAAGCTATATACAGCCATATAAACCTGACGAACTCCCTAGCGACGTCTTAATATGGCGA